GGGGGGCTGGGGGCGGGGCGCCATTTATTTATTTATTTATTTATTTGCTTTCTTTCTTGTGTTTGTTTTTGATGAGAGCAGAACGGCCCGTGTGGGAGGTGCGGTGGGAAGCGCAGGAGGCGGCGCCCGGTTTCCTCATGGGCACTCGCACCAACCGCCAGGGACGTGACCACGCGCAGCCCAGCAGGGCAACGCCGTGGCGCTGCGCAGCCCAGCACAGCGCCTAACCCCTGGGGCTGTACGGCCCCCCACAGCACAGCCCCTGGCACTGCACAGCCCCCGCGACCAGGAGGTCATCTGTGTGGGTGCGTGGTGAGGCTAGCAGGAGAGCTTGGGAAAGCCTGGACACCTACAAGAGCTTTCCCTGTGGCTTTACTTGTGACGCCTATAGGGACGGGATCGCCCCCAGCCAAATGATGTGAAAGCTCACGGGTTTAGAGAGGTGCGGAAGGTTCCTCGGGGTGGCTCTCTGGGGAAACAAGTAGAAAGATGAACTTGTGCAGTTGGCTTCCAAGCTCAGTGTCTGAGGAGACCTCTCAGCTTACAGAGGAACTGAGGACATGCAGAAGAGGAAAACTTTGTCTTCTGTGGCCCACCAACACTCATCTGTAGATGAATTACTGTAGTTCTTTGCTTGTCAGGGAATGGTTTGGGGGTTTGTGGGGTTGAAGAACTATTGTTCACTGGGAAGGTGAAACTATGTTAATGGCCTGTAGAGTGGAAAAGGCCCTAGTGGCCTATTCCTATCTCTCTTTTAAACCAGCTACCCAGGCTGAGGTAACCAGCATATCAGGGAATATGGTTTGATACAGGGATATAAGAAATTTGGGAGAGTGGTAGAGGTACTGCAGCGAAACTAAGCTTTCCTGATGGGTCCTATGGGAACACATGAAAGAAACTTGTGTGAGTAGCTGTGGCTGTAAGTGTCCATCAGTGCACATGAAACCAGAGAGGTTCTTAGCAGTCACTGAGCTCAGTGCCCTCTCCACGTCTTGGAGGTTGGAGAAAGGGTGTGACAGGGAAAGCACCGAGTGGCACTTCCCCTCATCTCCAGTTTAGGGACTTCCTGAGTTGAAGGTTGAGTCTTCCTCACTGCTATGAGTACCGCATGATGGAAGCTGCCTTCAGGAGCTCCTCTTAGGTGCTTCTTGTGCCCATTTATAATTCTGGCACCCGCAAAGCCCTGTGGCACTGCCACCCCGTGGCAGAGAGTGCAGCAGTTCAAGAACTACACCGTGCAAAACAGGACTTCCTTCCTGCTGTCTTCGTTGCTCATTACTCTGTGAATTTCTTATCTCCGGTGTTCCCTTTCTCAGCTGGAGTCCTCATTTATTTGAGGACTCTTCTTCTGTGGTGTCCATTCCATAGTTCTGTCATCCTTATTGCCCTCTCTGCTTTTTCTACTGCTATATCCTTTTTTTTGAGTAGTGGTGACCAATCTTTCATCCAGTGTTCAACACGTGAATATCCCGTAGATCTGCATGTTCGCATGGCTTTGTATAACAAGTTGTGTTTTGTTCTCTGTTCCTTTTCCAGTAGTGCCCAATACACTACTTGCCCTTCAGATCAATGAGGATTGAGCGGATCCTATCAAAGACCTGTCCTCAGTGACTTCGCGTTAACTTTCCTCAGTAGCAATGGCTGGGTAGCACTAACTGCTATGAAAGGCAAGGATTCCTTCCCTTGGCACCCGACTCTTGCTACAGCGTTTCTCTTTACATTTACCAAACATTTCGTTTCATGGCCATTCCATTTTGTCATTCAATGTTATGAAAATATGCTGCAGCAAATTCCATGGGTTCCAGTTTTGCCGGTCCTGATAGATTCTGCCTCCCCGGGAATCCCTGAGCAGCCGCAGCACCATCAGCTCCTTAACGCACAGGCGTGGGACTTACCCCTCAGCGCCTCTCCTCTCTGTGCACATTTCTGTTTATTGCGGTAGTTTCATGCAGTATGTATGGAAACAGGGCTAGGTGGTTTGTAGTTTGTTGGATTATCCCCATGGCCTTTTTAAAGATTCATATGAGATTTACCACCCTTATTTCTTTGATACTGAGACCATTTGCATCAGCAGGTTACACACCACTATTCATCGTTCGGCATCTTCATCCTTCAGTTGATATAAATCTCTTTGGTGAATCCCACCTGCTCTTTTGATAAATAACAGTTCATTTTATGCATTTAGTTTCACGTCTCCTACTAGGACTTCAGAATGAGACAGTTCTCTTGACTTGTACCCCACCAGTTAAGGTTCTTGTCTGGGAACAGCACCAGCATCTCATGTAGAGATGCAAAGAATTAATTTGTTTTTTTCTCTTCTAACCTTTTCCCCTCAGTGTTTTTTTATGTCTTGCTCATCTGTTGGATTCACAGACTCCAGATTTGCTGTGTTTGGTATGCTAGCAAAAGGTTTTTTTGCTCATTTTGGGGATTAAATTCATGCTTAGGGGTGATGATGCGTAAAACTGCAGCTGAAAACTAAGGACAATTCACTGGGTGCTGTTTCATAGTCAAATAGACCTGTGCTGTTCTGTCCTTAGGGCCTTTTTTTGTTTGTTTCTTGCTAAGAAACTCTGCTGAAGACAGCAAAGCAGAAGAACAAACATATTTAGAAAGAGAAAGCTTCTTTTCCTGTAATTTATAGAAATGTAAGTAGCCTTGTACAACATAGTGGAGTAATGTGTGTATCTTTGCAGAAATGATCTTCAGAGGAATAAAAAATTTTCCAATGACAGAGATAATTAGAAGAAAAAATCAGCCTGTGTGACCCGTATGTGGCTAATGAGGCCACCTGAAGTTATTCTATCCAAATCAAGAGCTTGTGGTCAAAGCAGGCAAGCGAGAAGATGGGCTGCTTGGCAAGAAATGGCTTGGGCAGCAAGCCTCAGCTGACAAAGGAGATTCTCAAGTCCTTGTGACTTTTAAAACAGATGGCCATTTTGGGGGTCAAAAATCTTAATCTAAGAGAAAGATGGGGTTAAACTGCTACTGTGGCAGAAGGTATCATAAATATGCTCCAAAAGAGGGTTTCAGCTGCTGCGCAAGGCACTCTGCTTCGTAAGCGTACAGGCAGTGTACTGCTGTCCATGTTCTTGGCCTTGAAGCTTGTGTAATGAGGAACCAAGAGAACGTGGTGGCATCGGAGACCCAGATGGATGGATCCTCACCAGAGAGGGCTCCTGAAAGGGACTACATGATTCTCTAGAGGATGCATCACTGCAGAACAGTCTCATGCTGTAAAGAAAGGTTCCGTTTTCTGCCTTTGTGGAACAGCCCCTCTGGGGGAAGGCAGGAAATACTCCATTTCTTTTAGAATATAGAATAGCCTTAAATGGTCAGTAAGAGCATTAGGTGTTTTTCATCATTTTTTAAATGTGGATTTGGCTAAGAACCTCTGTAACATCATGCATTGGGGTCTAAAGGTGGACAAATGTATTTGGGCTGTACTTGAATTGCTGACTCTCCATTTCTAGCACTGTCCCCTTGGCTCATAAATTCTAATAGAGATGCAAAGATTTCAGACTAAAAGAGACCCAGAAATTCTGGTTAGTCAGGTAACCCTTTACAAATACAAATAAAACTCTACAAATTGTTTGACTGCCAATATGCAATTGGTTTAATATTTAAATGAACACCAGCATCTGAGAAATTGTAACTGTTATTAGAAAATAGATCCATGACCAGAGGAGCATATTGAGTTGGGTTTGATTGGATTTCCTAGTAGAAGGCAAAACTAAGGGAATACACATATAATTCTATTTCAGATTTTTTTTGCCTTCTTATTAAAATAGCTTATGTTACTGTTTGCTATTTTATTTTAGGTGGCAGTCAATGAACAAGAAATGCATTGTGGGTGCTAGGAAAAAAAGCTACTAATG